ACGGCAAATAATAAAAGTATATTATTCCAACGGACATAATGTTGCAAGGGTTAAAGGAGAATATCGACAAACATGTCCAGGAAGAAGAGTTCCTTTAATAAATACAATAAAAAATATAATTAAATAATTTGAGGACCGAAATAGTGTCGCCCTAAAGACCAGACCAATATATTTCATATTTTCAAGGTAAATTAAACTATTACTTCACATCATTACTTTGAGTTTTACTTTCTTCATTTTTTTAATGTTGCCGTCATTTTGACAGCTTGCCATTATGGTTTGTTTTTTCTGACATTTGCATTTGTAATAGAGCAAAAATATTCAAACTTTTGTATTCTCACTTTTATTCTATCTTTTAAAATTAACCGTGTAGTTGGGTGCCGAAGCATAATGAATAACCCTGTAAATTAAAAAAATCACCTTAATGTCCAATTAATTAAACTTAAGATCTTTTTACTATAATTTTTATTAACATAATACATAACCACGTCAATAATGAACTAAATAAATCTATACAATAACTAGTAAGATTAAGATTAATTACACTGATTTGTAAGAACCATTCATACTTGATTTACATCAATGCTTCAATAATAAAATGTTATTAACAAATTTTCAAGTTAAATCTGATCTGATTTCAAAAAATTCTCATCGAATTAATGCTTGAAGAGAAAACCAGTATTATCCCATTCATAACTAAAACATATTCCATCGCCAAACGAAGCAGAAGCGAAGTTTCATTTTGTTTTGCTATCGGGGTTGGTTTTATCAATGGCTTGGGTAATATCTTTTGCGTATAAGTGATAAAAATGATTGTCGCATTAAACATCTTCAGAAATAACCACTTGGCAGTATGGTTAAGCTTTCAAAAAATTCTCTGTGCCTCTAGAACGAAAGTCAGGAAAGGTAAGATGCTTCCGTGGTTTACGTAGGTGCTTGTAGTTATTTTGAACTCCCTTCTTTGTTTCGTATTACATATTTCAGACATAGAGGCTCTTAGGATGTGTGTGGAACCCATATTACTGGAGTCGGATTGAACATATTCAATGAAGACTTCTTAAACTCATTAATTATATATCTTTTTAGGAAAATCAAATAAAATTACAAGGAAATTTAGTCTGACCAATAACCTGTTACGACTCTCGCCAAAGAGTCAGAGAAACTGCTGCACAAACTACTCTACTATATAAGTACAATAAAACAAAGGGTTCTTGTTTCTCCGCTAATGACCCAGGAGCTTAGGTAACTTTAGAATTGCAGTCGTTTCTTAATAAACTGTTGCTTACAAGGGAATTGGTCAAAAATAAATAATAATAATAATCCTCTTCCCAGTAGTTAGTAGTTTTTCGAGAATATCCTTTTCTTAGTTGAGTTTTGTACTAACTTTAAACAATTGGTCGCTTACAGTTATTTGATTTACGAAGACTATGAGATTAATCAGAAAAACTATAGAGTTAACGACGTCTCGAATGGTGCTAACATATAAATTCTGTCAGGCTTAATCACTTTCAAAAGTGTCGTAATACCGTTTGTAGGCGATGAATCAGAGGAGACGTTTGTTAAGAATCTCCAACACCCGCTTTCGCTATTTGCATGGGATTTGCATACATAGTTGATATATTCGGGGCTTTCAAAGGCCCCGCACCGAAAGAAATCTCGGCCAGGCGATTAAATTCCGTCGTTTCTTTTTTAATTCTTTGTCGTTTTTAATTTTTATTTCGCTTTAATGGGGGTTGTTTTATGACGCGATAAGGGGAAAACGTAATTAAGAGTGTCGCGATGAAAATAAAAGCTATCGTACCGCGAAAATTTTATTGCAATCCGGATGCGGGATTAAAAAAAAATCTGTTTAGGTTGTAGAGTTCGGTTACGACTGTCAAGTGTTCTTCCTTTCAAATTATTTTGATTCTTAGGTTAGGTTTCAGGTTTTAAGGCTTTAAAGTCAACGATTTCAAGAAAAAAGCAGATTTGGTACTTGAATACTTACTTTTTGAGATAATGTATATCTCAATGCAACCGTAGATAGAAATAAAACAATGAAGCTCACCTTTCTCAAAACGAAACCTTTTTAGTTTCTATTTCCAGACAATTTGCTTCTGCTACGAACCCCCGAAAAAGATCAAGAGTTCCGACCCTCTCGCCATGTGCCTTTTATAACAGCAATCAAGTGGCACATCAAAGCGAAGAGGTGTGTTAGCAAACTCTATCAACTACGTCGAACTCCCTCGAATGGGAGTTCGCACACACGCGGGGAATTACTTTGATCGGCGGTATGGCCAATTCCAGCGGTGTATTTGTGAAAAAGCCTTAAGTAAACTAGTTCCTCCAATATGTTGTTCGTTTTGAACTATACAGCGACAAAACGCTCTTCGAAAATTTTGTTTCAGTTTTACTATTCCAATTTTGGAAAAAAATCTCTAATTTTATTTCTGTGTCCGTCTTAACCTTCATTTTTCTTATGGTTTTTGGAAAGAGCGTAAAATTTACAGTTCAGTAATGTCTAAAAGTGCACACATTTTTTTATCACACTTCGGAAAGTTGGGTCTTAATTATTTTTTCTACTCCCGTCTGTAAAATACCTAATTACACTGCGATCTAGCGTGCGAACCACTTCGGACATTTCCAGGATTTTACCGCACGGGTTTGGAACCAATCGGATGTTTTCGGAGATATTTCCCACGCTTTGAATTTTGACGTTTATCAATTCTGACGGTCATGTCAGTGAATGCATTCGTGTTTTGCGAAAATGTACCCAAAAATTAACGGTCGTAGAAAACGCATAGTATGCAACACGTTAGGTAAACTTTTTAACTCACTCGTTTATTAAACACTCGCTCCGCTTATGTCAAATAAACTCGTGAGTCAAATGCCGCTTACCGCACTTGTTGCATAATATACTATTAACGAAAATCAAACATAATAAAACATTATTTTATGTTCTCGTCGATAAAAAATTCTTCCACAGAATAGTTTTTATTTAACGAAAACTATTTTAATATTTTTTCAGAACTTTTTTTTGAGGTTTGCCGTACAGCCGCTACTTATTTCCATTAATTTATTTAAACATTTTATACCCATATAAGTTTGGATTTTCCTGTCCAACATGCAATCTTGAAAGAGGTAAGTGGTACAGGTTCTTATCCTTAATGAAATTTTTGTGATGATTTTTTGATAACATTTTTTTAATATATTTATTTTTAAAATATTCTCTGCAAGAGTCTGAGCGGCCTATGCTATTGATCTGATGGCTTTTTATTGTAAGATAAATATTTTTCTAGAATCTCTTGAGCTTCTCGAAAACACTATCGCGTAAGAGTTAATGCGAGTTTGATTTGCCTGATAGACAATCAACAGAGTTTTTGTTCACTCATTAGTATTACCAAATTTGTAAAATATAATCAATAAAGAGCTTGCAAAACTTTACAAAAAAAAAACGCAAACTTGAAAACTTTATTGAAAATTGTTAATTATCTCAAAAAGCAAAAAAACACTCGGCTGGCGTCTGTAATTTTTAAAAAATATTACAAGCTTCCGGAGTTTTGTCTGGTTTTTGCATCGCGTTCATCTGAACGTCCCCTCTTTCAACCCGTTCTCGGCCTCTGTTGGGGATTCTCGAAATAAACTGACCGCACACTCGAAAATACCCGTGCGGCCAAAAAGTTTCTGGCAGGCGTGGTGCAGTAATTATATCGCCTTTTGCTTTTATTAAAGCAATCTTGTTGGAGGAATAAATACGCTCAGCGCTGAAAGTATGCTAATTTTTGTTAAGAGGGTAACACTTGCGAATTGCTTGCGAATTTTTAATTAGATATTTTGCAGAAATCAATAAGTTAATAGATAGTTTTTTTTTTCAAATATTATCCATTAATTATTTTGGAGTTAATACCAAAAATTTACCACTCGCCAGTAAAATCAGAGGTCAATCGATTTTTAAAAACGTTTTGATTTTGCTGCACCAAAATTCAAAGAGTCATTTCTACTTTTTTCAATTTTTCAAAAAAGATTATTAAATAACTTTATTTTTTCGATTAAGATTAAGCTTTGAATTTCCTACTTGTTAGTAATATTGTGAGAAACTACTTAGTATATCCAGCCCTTTTTCTTAGTAGCATATTCCATCGCTGTCTTGCTTCAATCTTGGGGGAGCAGAGTTGCTTCTCATGGGACTAATGTATAGACATACAAGAAGTGTATCTGTCTCTGTTTTGAAGCCGTACCACAATTATTACGTCTGCAAAAAAAAACAAAGTAAATTTCGATTAAGCATTTACATAACTATAAAAATAAATAAGAAAAAATGGTATTAGTAAAAGATAATATCGTGAATGAACACTCTAAGAATTTTACGAAAATTCACGACGCCAAAACCATCATCCATTGGTGAATATATATATATATATATATATATATATATATATATATATATATATATATATATATATATATATATATATATATATATATATATATATATATATATATATATATATATATATATATATATATAT